GTATGAGTTACCAGAATTCTTCAATGGTTGAGTTTCAAATTAAAGATGTAACCTTATAACAGCCAGTGGATCGAGCCCTATGCTTTTTCTAATTACATTTCTGAGTTCTTATGTTTTTGCTTATTTCTTGGCAAGAAGTTAATATGATTCCTGAAAGCCTTTGTGCATCAAAAAGCATTACAAGCAGCATCTCTTATTGGACATTAACTAAAACATCCAACACGTACTGGTCTTTTTGTTGAGGACAAAACTCGGGTTGTTGATCTAAGATCGAGTCCAGCATCACAGATTGTGTTTAAGACGTGGCAGGACATGGCAATTAGATACGAGAAGAGAGATAATCAAAGAAAAAACAAACAATTTCATATGCACTGAAAGAGTTTTGGAAAATATTTCACTATGTGAAGATCAAGAACAAGCAAGCATCTGAGAATTCTTCTTTACACTCAACCTTCTATTGAAGCTCCCCAGTTCAACAAATCTTATATCAAAACTCAACCCACAATGGTAAGTGGCTAGGTTACATACAGAATAAAATTCTAATGGTCCTCCTATTGCAGCCCACAACGCCCATATAATTCTATGTCATCAAGATCACAACCAAAATGTGTGAGAGTGAGGCAGACAGCATTAGTGAATGTGACTGGCATTCTCATAAACCTGAGGAATCTTTAAAGAGATTGAAATGTAGCTTCCATTGTCATGTTGTAAGTCTATATAGCGTAATCAAAGTGCAGAGAGAAACATAATCATCCCTTGTTGTATTAGATGAGTTAAGACTCCTGCATTACCAATGCAAAGTAACTGGTAAAACCGTAAAATTGCATTACAATAATTGAACTTTTCTGTTGAGCTTATTAGAAACTAATATGTAAATTAAGCTTTCTAAGTTGACCTACCTACTAGTGAAGATGGTACCATCCAAAACAAATATCATGCAAGTGTCCAGCACAAGTCTGCTCATCCTAAGTGCACAGCGAGTGATAAGAATTATTTTTCGTAAACAAGAATGCACTCATCATTGCTATCATATATTGTTTATATATGATTAATTAAAGTTAAGCTTTTGTTGTGACATACCTTAAACTCTCTTTTAGAAAGAATGTGGTTTTCGATAATTGGAAATGAAGCTGTGATACTCAAGCAAGAAACAATGCACTGACAGCTGAAATCTGCACAAATGTAGCTGCTGTTGAAGAAATAGAAACATCAAAAAATGGATGGAGATGACGACGGACTATAACAATGCAATTTCCCAGAAAGTGTAGAAGGAACAAATAGAGGAATTAAAAAAAAAAAGAAATTTACTCTGGACAAATTGTAGGCTCAGAATTAATTGTACACAAATAAACCTTCATCAAATTTTATAAGCTACTCTGCATCTGCTATTCTCCTTAATTTACTTCTGAAAGACGATGTTGTTTAAGGAATGGAATACTAACACCTACAAGTATGGTTCATTATCAAAATTAATTTTCAAGAAAATAAAGTGTATGATCCTACTCAATTGTGAAAGACTATAAATGTTCAAATGTAAAGACATAATGCTCAACTAACACTTTTAAAACTTTAAAATGATCTAGAATGCATACTTGAATACCTTTTGCTTTGTCAAGAGGTTTCCTTTTCTTCCTCATGCTACTGCTCTATGGTGTGAATCTGTTACTACTTCTGGTTCCATGCGTGTGCACTACAAAATTAAAGAAATATATTAATGGAAAAAGTAGTACCTGAGGCACACATCATGAAAAGTTACAGTGGAAATTAAATATAAGAAGGAGAAAGATATTTAACAACAAGAAATTGATAATGGATTTAATATAGTCCCAAGTATGAAAGTAGAAGCACTTAATTAGGAGACCTCATGCTCAGTTGTATTTATTATCTTTTATGTAAATGATCAAATTCTAAATTCCAATACCTAATGTAAAATCATAATACTCTTTACTAACTCCAAATCAAAGTTTCCAAATAACTGATATGACTGATAAAAAAAGGGCATATATTAAAGAAAAGTAACAAGAGTCACAAAAATTTATAGAGAAACAGTTGATGGCTAAGTATTGGTGAGTTTCAAAGAATCTAACCTTGAAGTCATATATGATGTTATTCCATCTTCTGCTTCAATTTACAGAGTCACACTGAGTTTAAGGCTAAGTTCTGCAAAACTGATAAAATGGAGATAGGATGAGAGAGAGTATGATAAGTAAAAAGGAAATATATTAATGGAAAAAAAGAACTCGATGTATTGATCATGAAAAGTTACAGCGGAAAATATAAGATGGGGAAAGATATTTAACAACAGAAAATTGATGATGGATAGTCCCCCCAAGTATGAAAGTAGAAGCAGTTAATTAGGAGACCTAATGCTCAATGGTATTAATTGTCTTATAAGAACATATTTTACAATGTAAATGACCAAATGTTAAATTCCAAAAGCTAATGTAAACTCTTAATATTCTTCATTAACTTCAAATCAAAGTTTCCGAATAACATACATGATTGATAAAAAAACACACACACACACATATATATATATTAAAGAAAAGTGACATGAGTCACAAATATTTATGGAGTGGCAGTTGATGGCTATGTTTTGAGAAAATGATGAGTTCTGAAGAATCTAACCTTAAAGTCATGTACAATATAATTCCTTCTTCTGCTTCAATTTACAGGGTGACAATGAGTTTAAGGCTAAGCTCTGCAAAATTGATAAAACGGAGATAGGATGAGAGAGAGTATGATAACCAAAAACACCAGCAAATGAAGAATGCAATAGATTTGATGTGCTGGTAATTTAAAACGGCGCTAACCTGGAATCATCTCTAAATATGTGAAATCAATAGATCGATCTTTGGATAATTGGATCATTCTCACATAAGCTGGTATAGAAAAAGGGAATGGAATAAAAATTGTTATATGGTCAATTGTTGACATCTTTTATGAACCATGAGTTTAACATTTCAGAAAATGGAAAAAAAGATTACCTAAAAGTATTCCTCATGTATCACACTGCAAAAAAATTGGAACATTCAGGGATTACTGTATAGATTGACAAATTTGGTTTCAGGTGTTGGTTTGAAGTCTGAATTGATAAAAAGATAGAAATGCTTACTGATATGGCCATGGTGAGGATAACTTAGTGATGGAAGGGAAGTTTTTAAAGAAGCTGAGGTTTAAGAAAACATACTTGAGAAGTTCAATCTTCTTAGAATTGGATGCACTCCGTCTATTTGGATATTGGAATGTGATGAATTTTGAATCAGTCAGTACCTCCTGGCATTGGATGGCCCTAGGAGAAGGCAAATATTTCAAATTATGGACAGAAATTGAATATCTGAATAGAGGCCAAGTTCACAACAAATATGCCAAAGCTTCCAAATTATAAAACTCTCCATAATCAGATAGTCCAGAAGCTAAGCTACATCTGCTCTTCCCTTCATCTACAAAAAGCCATATGGCACAAGGAATGTAATACTAATCATGAACACCTACCAGTATTCTTTCTATCAAAATTTTCAAGAAAAATACTTAACTACTTGCATAGACTATACATGCTTGTAAAGACACAATACTTAATTAAGACTCATACATGATCTAGAAGCCATACTTGAATAATATTTTGCATTGTCAAGAAGCTTCCTCCCTTCTCCCTGCTACTTCTCCATGGTGTGAATTAAACACTACCTAAAGTTCTTCAAATGCTCAAATCCAAAGTACATGATAACTCCATAACTGCATAACCAGCAAATGGTTCTAGAAAAAATGAATTAATGAAATAAAATTTATTATAGTGTAACTTGTTGATTTCATTTATGAAACATGAATTTACCTTTTTGAGAAAAACCAAAAGAGGATACCTAAAAGAATCCCTCATGCACTGCAAACAGTTGGAACAACCTGGGTTTACCTTATGGATTGGCAAACTTAATTACTGGTGTTGCTTAAGAGTTAGAATTCATAAAAGATACAAATGCTTAATGATAGGATGAAGATAGGCTTAGTGATGGGAAGTTTTTAAGGAAGAAGAGGTGTTGAGGTTTAGAATATATACCTGTGAAGCTCAATATTCTTGGAATGGGATGCACTCGTTCTACCTGGATATTGGAATGCAAGAAACTTCCAATGGTCAGTACCTCTTAGCATTGCATGGTTCCAGTAGAACGCAATATTTCAGATTTTGAATAGAAATCTGGTCTTCCAATAATGAACAAGTTCCCTAACAATTTTGCCAAAGCTTTCCCTTCATAGAACTCGCTTATAATTAAAATCCTGAATATTCAAGATGCCGTCATCCAAACCAATATCACAAAAATATCCTGCGAGAGCTTGCTCATCCTAAGTGCATAGGAATCCCTAGAAAACAAGATAAAATCAAGTAAACCCTCATCATTACTTTGATTATTTCCTTATATGATTAATTCAAATAACTGAACACCACATTTCACAAGGTTGTAAAGTTAATCAATATTAGTAAAAGTTTAGTTTTTGCAGTAAAACAGGAAAAATCAAATAATCAGTATGGTAACAGACTACAAAAAAATATCTTTTACAATGAAAAACCAAAAGCAGGGAAGAAGAATCATATTTATTTCAATTGCTTAAAGATTGAGAAAATTTTACTTAATTATATATTCATGAGAGCTACAAGCTACTCTGCATCTGATACTCCCATAAATAGATTGCTTCAAATGATTTAAGACCCTACTCCTATTGGATACTTACACAAACAAGTTGTACGATAAAATTTTTGAAGCTAGTTCATAAAACCCAACTCAAAGACCATGCAACAAGTTCTAAGAACTTACTAGATCGGAAAGGATTTCTTAGGTGCCGGTAAACCAGTGACCTATGCATATACATGTATACAAAGATGCAGACTCATGCGTGGACAAACACTTCCAGTGGACTCAACATGTACTTAAATAAATAGTTTGAGAAAACCACCCATTTTCAATTCTTCCAAACCATGGGAATCATTTATTATACATTGTGAATAATGAGAAATCCCTACCATTGTTTGGCTTACGGGAAATGGAGGGGCCACAATATCCTTCCATTTCCCTCCCTCTTGCTTGCTTCCCCTTTTTTCATTTAGTTATACTAAAATTATAAAGGAAATTAAAAGTAAATCCTCCCTCCCATTCCCTTCCCTCCAATTTTTGTTATCCAAATAGGGAATTTTATCCCCTCCCCTTAAACCAAACAAGCTTTTAAAAGAATTCTTATATGGAAAGGAGTTGGAGTAATAAGAAATTACCTTTTAAAAGAATTCTTATATGGAAAGGAGTTGGAGTAAAAAGAAATTACCTTTTAAAGAATTTTCACAAGCACTGTAGGTTAAGAGAATTGAAGCAGCCATAAGTAACCCTCTGAATTGATGAATTTGACTTTTGTTGTTGCTTTTAAGTCTGAATTGATGAAAGAAGGAAAATTAGTGGTGGAATTTATTATAAGAAAGAAGAGAAGTTGAGGATTGAGAAATTTAAATATACCTCAGAAAAAGGGACTCAAATCTCCTTGTTATTGGATGCGCACTTAACCTATGTAGATGCTTGGAATGTGAGAAATTTTGAACCATTCCAGGCCGGTATCCTTTGCACATCTTCCTTTTAGCTCTCAACATTCAAAAATTATAAGACACTGCAACGTGGAGAGGCATTGCATGGCTGGTGTAGAAGGCAAATATTTCAAATTTGCGCAGCGGTGAATCTTCAGAGTTTGAAGAGATGACAAGCTTCCCAACCACTCTGGCAAAGCTTCCACTTGATTGAAATCATATATTCTCAATTCCCTTAGAGAAGTGAGGTGTTGAATTTGAGGTGGTAGATATGTTAGTTTTTCCCACCCCCCCAACCCTAATACTTGAAGGGAGGCATGGAGGTGGCGGATGGAATTGAGACATGGGAATTCCTCCAACTCTTTTGAGAAACCACCAATTTCCAATCTCTCCAAGCAGACAAGACAGCTGAAGCTCTCCTCCGGAATACTCCTCAAATTTTCACAGTTGATAATACCTAACTCAACCAGAGAATGCAAATCCTTCAAGTCTTTTGACATGGAGATCAGATTACGGCAGCCAACTATGCGCAATTCTTTAAGTGCAGTGCAGGAGGACAGTCCACTTGGTAGACTCACCACTAAATTGCATCGGCTAATCCATAATCGTTTTAGAGAGGAAAGCCCATTTACACTTGGAATGTGCCTCAGATCTTCACATCCATATAGATATAACTCTTCTAGGCATGTGAGGGTCGAAATACTGTCCCCAATTGTTTCCAATCTATAACATGACCAAATATCTAGTTGTCTGAGGGACGCCGGAAAGGCAAATACTCCATCTCCGATTCTGGTTAGTTCAAGGCAATTTCGAATTTGAAGCTGTTGAAGAGACGATAACCCGCTCATGTTTGGAATGCTTTTCAACTTTTTACACCCTAAGATATTCAAGTCCACCAAATTGTTGAGCGAAAATGATTCACTCAAACTAGGCTCCATCCATGATGGACATTTTTCACCTCTATAACATTCTATGGTTAAGTTTCTCAAATTTGGAGGAGGTTTGAGGCCCGCTAACACATCTTCATCATGATTACATTCTTCTGTATTTCTTTCTGCCCATTCCAGACTCAACTCATAAAGTTCAATCTTTTCCGAAAGTTTTGCTTTCTCTGCTTTTGAGTAGTTTTCAACATGCTCTAGGTGACATATTGTTAATTTACCTCTAAGTTGGCTCAAGCATCCCAGCTCCTCAATTCGACTTCCCTTTTGTAGACCGACAACAAATAACTGTAACGTTTGAAGATCCTTCAGCCTACCAATTCTGAGTGGCATACAATTGTAACAATTAAAATAAATGTGTCTCAAGCTAACTAAGTTTTCCACCCCTTTTGGCTGTTTTACAATCTGAGAACAATACATGAACCTCAGTGTCTCCAAACTATACAACTCCATAACAAACTGGGGTAGTTCTTTAATGTCAGCTTTTGAAATGTCTAGATACCTCAAATGCTTCATCTTGCCAATCCAAGTTGGCAATTGCTCAATATTAGCTCCCCGAAAGCTACCTTGCTCAAAGCTAAGAATGCGTAACCTTTTGAAGCTATTTGGCATCTTGTACAAAATATCACCTTTGAGAAATAAGGAGTGTAGTTTTCTAGCCACCTCTACTAAATTTGTAGGCACTATTTCCTTAGCATCAACAAGATTCAAATGCCGAACATGTGCAATGTTGCTCTCTGAACCAGCTTTCAAAATAAGTGTTTCAGATTTTGAATTGTAAGTGGCAAGATCATGAATTAAATCATGCATTTTGCATGACTTAATCTTTCTAGTTGAATCTCTTTTTTCCTCTAAAAACAAAGAATATGATAACAAGTCATTAAAATACTTGTTACCAATATCCTCCATAGAACTTCCCTGTGATGGTTGAAGAAAGCCTTCAGCCATCCAAAGTTGAATTAACATCTCCTTTTCAATTTCCCAATCCTTGGGGAAAATGGAACAAAAGGCAAAACATTGCTTCAATGTTGTGTTAGGTAAGCGATCAAAACTCAACTGTAAAACTCGAATAGTCCATGCCCGACTATCATCTTCCAGTGAACTCCTTGCATCAAAACTATTGTTAACTGACACCCATTCACCTCTATCCCTTCGATCACTCAAACTAGCCCCAATGACATTGGCAACCAAAGGCACACCTTTACATTTTTTAGCGATTTGCCTTCCAATTGCTTCCAACTCCAGATTAGGCACTGAAGAACCTCCAAATGCTCTCTGCTCTATTATAGACCAACACTGTTCATCATCTAGTCCTTGCAAAGGATACAGGTGTTTTCTAAATGTTCCCATTATAGCTGCTACTTTTTCACTTCGAGTTGTCACAACCATTCTACTTGCCTTATTTTTATTTATTTCTAACAAACAACCCCTTAGGGCTTCCCACTTCAATGGATCCTCATTCCACACATCATCTAAGATAAGTAGATAGTTTTCATTCTTCAACATATCTTGTATTTTTCCCACTATGGTAGCCTCATTTTCAATTGAACAACCCTCTTTGGTGAGAGATTCTAACATCTCTTTTAGGATTTTTTTGACATCAAAGTCTTCAGACACACAAATGAACATTGTTTTACCAAAATTCCTCACTATTTTCTCATGATTTTGCACTGATTTTACTAGGGTAGTTTTTCCCACACCCCCCATACCCACTACAGATATGACAGAAAGGGACTCTTTATTACTTGGATCAATCAACAAGTCAACTATTTTTGACACATCACCCTCTCTGCCTATGACTCTAGGACAATAACCAGGGGAGGAGTATGCTGTTTGAGGGTTGCTTCTAGGTTCATAGGTAGCATGTCTGGACTGAAGTCCAAATTGAGTAGCCTCCTCATTAATCTCAACTATAGAAGCAATAAGATTCTTGATCTTATTAGCCATCGTGAGACGAAATATGAAAGGATTGGAGAAAGTAAAGAAGAGGCAGACCTCCTTCTTCATTTGATTTTGAATTTGTACCTCCTGTTTCAGTCTTTCATAAACAACCTCGTCCAAAACATCCTCGGCCTCACGAGCCACGTCTCTGAGGTTCTCAAGCCAAAGCTTCACAGCTGAGTCCCCAACTTGCTTTCTGTCTGCATCTTCCAACAGAGCACGGATCATGGTCAACTTGTTGCAAAGTCTTCTGAGCTCTGCCTTCCAACTGACTGCAAGGTTGATTTGCT